TACTTCACTAGTATAACATTTTCTAGTTAATTCCATTTGCCTCCAAATTCCATGATTTCATTTTTCTTGTATTCCTGAGTAGAACTCCATTGCTTAAATGTACCACATTTTCATTATCTATTCATCAGCTGAAGGACATACACTTAGGTTGCTTCCATCGCTTAGCTGTTGTGAAAAGGGCAACAACAATCATGGATGTACAAGTGTCTCTGCAGTAGGGTGAGTTCTTTGGGTATATGCCAAGGACTGGTATAACTGGGTCAAATTGTAGGTTCAATTTGTAGTTTTTTAAGACTTCTCCACACTGCTTTCCACAGGGGTTGAGCAAGTTTGCAGCCCCACCAGCAGTGCATGAGTGTTCCCCTTTCCCCACATCCTCTCCAACATTTTGGTATCATTTGTTCTCTTGATCATAGCCAGTCTGACTAGGGTAAAATGAAATCTTAAAGTGGCTTTAATTTGCATTTCCCTAATTACTAGGGATGTTGAACATCTATTAAGATGTTTCTTAGCCATCTTTATTTCTTCTTTTGAGAACTCTCTGTTCAGCTCCTTAGCCCGTCTTTTAATTGGGTTACTTACTTTCTTGATTGACTTTTGAGTTCATTATATATTCTGGATGTTAAACCTCTGTCAGATGTGTCACTGGTGAAGATTTTCTCCCATTCTGTGGGTTTTCTCTTCACTTCCCTGGTTGCCTCCTTTGATGTACAGAAGCTTTTTAGTTTAATGAGGTCACATTTGTTGATTCTTGAACTTGTTTCCTGAACAATTGGATGTCTGGTTTAGAAAATCCTTCCCTACACCTATATCTTGTAGGTTTTTGACAAAGTTTTCTTTTAACAGTTTCAAAGTTTCAGGCTTTACATTGAGGTATTTGATCCATTTGGAACTGACTTTTGTGCATGGTGAAAGATAGGGATTTGGTTTCATTCTTCTACAGGCAGAGATCCGGTTTTGCCAGCCTCATTTGCTGAACATGCTGTCTTTCTTCCAGTAAATGTTCTTGGCCCCTTTGTCAAATATCAGGTGGCTGAAATTGAATGTACTCATATTTGGGTCTTCAATTTTTTCCATTGGTTTTTGGGTCTATTTTTGTGCCAGTACCATGTTGTTTTTATGACTATAGCTCTGTAATACAGTTTGAAGACTGGTTTAGTAATCCCAGAGCATTGCTCTTAGTACTCAGGGTTGCTTTGGCTATCCGAGGTCTTTTGTGCTTCCATATGAATCTTAGAATTTTTTTTTCCAATTCTGTGAAAAATGTCATGGGGATTTTGATTGGCATTGCATTGAATCTATAAATGGCCTTTGGTAGGATGGTCATTTTCACAATATTAATTCTTCCAATCCATGAGCATGGGCGGTCCTCCCATCTTCTGATGTCTTCCTCAATCTCTTTCTTTAAAGACTTAATATTTTCATCGTAGAGGTCTTTAATGTCTTTGGACAGATTTATTCCAAGATTATTTTTTGCAGCTATTGTGAAGGGTAGTGTTTCCATGTACTCTTTCTCTGATTGCTTGTTATCGGCATATAGAAAGGCTACAGATTTTTGTAGATTAATTTTGTAACCTGCCATTTTACTGAATGTGTTAATAATTTCCAGGAGTTTTTTGGAGGAATTTTTGGTGTCTCTTAGATATAATATTATATCATCTGCAAAAAGGGTAATTTGCTCTCTTCTTTTCCATTTATTACTTCTTTAATTTACTTCTCTTATCTTATTGTTCTTGCAAGAGTTTCAAGCACTATGTTAATAAGGAGTAGAGATAGTGGGCAGCCTTGTCTGGTTCCTGATTTCAATGGGAACGCTTCCAGTTTTTCTCCATTTAGAAGGATGTTGGCTGTGGGTTTGTTATATATGGCTTTAATTATGTTGAGGTATGTTCCCTCCAGTCCAATTCCCTCTAGGACTTTGAACATAAATGCATGTTGAATTTTGTCAAAGGCTTCTCTGCATCTATTGAGATGACCATGTGGTTCTTGTCTTTGAGCCCATTTATATGATTTATGATGTTTATTGACTTACATATATTGAACCATCCCTGCATCTATAGAATAAAACCAACTTGATCATGTTGGATAATCTTTTTGACATGTGTCTGCATGTGGTTTGCAAGTATCTTGTTGGGAATTTTTGCATCTATGTTCATTAAGGATATGGTTCATTAAGGATAAGGATAAGTTTTCCTTTTTGGTTATATCTTTACATGGCTTTGGTATTAGAGTGATGCTGGCTTCATAGAAGGAATTTGGAAGTTCTCCCTCCATTTCTATCTTTTTTAATAAATTAAGTAGTATTGGATGTAGATCTTCTTAAAATATCTGATAGAATTCTGCTGTAAATCCATGTGGTCCTGGGCTTTTAGTCTGGAGGTTTTGTTTTCACTGTTTCAATTTCTTTTTGTGTTATTGGTCTATTTAAGCTGTTAATCTCTTCTTGGTTTAGTTTTGGTGGTTCCCATGACTTTAGATATCCGTCCATTTATTTTAGGTTTTCAAATGTAGTAGCATATACGATTTTAAAGTATTCCCTTATCATGTTCTGGATCTTTTTGGTGTCTTTGTGATGATTCCCCTTTCATCTCTGATTTTGTTGATTTGGAGATGCTCTTTCTTCTTTTGGTTAACTGGGCTAGTGGTCTGTCAATCCTGTTTATCTTTTCAAAGAATCAGCTCTTGGATTTGTTGATTCTTTTTATTGTTTGCTTTGATTTCATTAATTTCTGCTCTGATTTTTGTTATTTCTTCTTGTCTGCAGGGTTTGGGTTTCATTTGTTGTTGCTTTTCAAGTGTCTTGAGTTGCAATGTTAAGTCATTTATTTGTGTTCTTTCCGATTTTTTAATGTAGGCACTTAGAGTGATAAACTTCCCTCTAAGGACAGTTTCAGTGTGTCCCAAAGGTTTTGTTGTGTTGTATTGTCCTTTTCATTTAGTTCCAAGAATACTTTTATTTCTTTCTTACTTTTTCTTTTGACCCATTCATCATTCAGGAGTGTGTTGTTTAATCTCCATGTGTTCATGTGGTGACTAGGGCTTCTTCCGGTGTTGACTGTAAGCTTTATTGCACTGTGGTCTCATAGAATGCATGGAATTATTTCAATTATTATATATTTGTTGAGGTTTATTTTGTGTTCCAGTATGTGGTCGATTTTGGAGAAGGTTCCATGGGGTGCTGAGTAGAAAGTATATCCTTTGGTGTTTGGGTAGAATACTCAGTAGATATCTGTTAAGTCCATTTGATATATGGTTTTGTTTAATTCAGATGTCTCTCTGTTAAGTCTCTGGCCTGTTGACCTATCTAATGGAGATAGTGGGATATTGAAGTCCCCTACTATTAATGAGTTGGGATTAATCTGGGTCTTAAAGTCCTGTACTACTGTTTTTATGAAGTTGGGTACAGCAGAGTTTGGTGAATATATGTTCACAATTGTAATTTCTTCTTGATTCATTGTTTCTTTGATCAGAATGAAGTGGCCCTCTTTATCTCTTCTGATCAAAAGAACAATAAATCAAGAAGATATTACAATCACGAACATATATTCATGA